AAAGGAGTTTGGCTATTGAGTTCAATGGGAACAGGCTTTGACATTTGGAGAGGAAAGAACAAAACCACTCAAGCAAGGGCTATGTTGCTTATACCACAGATATCAAAGGCTGCTAACTCGTGTGAGAAAGTCAGCAGATATCTGATCTTTGTCCATTGCAAGGGAGAAATCAGCAATCAATGAGGCTAGAACAGTTTCTGTACCATATGCAACTCATAAGTACATCTGCAAAGGATCAAGGAAATATGAAGGCTCCAGATTACCTTAAAGTCCTCAGTCACTTGGTTAGAATGCTCCCATTAGTATATGTTCATAGTCCAGAGGCTGGAGCAGGAAAGAGGCAAAATGGATGTTTCCAGGACAGGCCTTTTAGCTTTTGCCAACTAAATGGAGATCTGTTCTTACTATGAAAGATGGTGTTTGGAATCACATGGGCAAGTTACATGTCCATCATCCCCCACCCATCTTCTAGTTAGAACATGCACAAAAAGTCCATTAAGAATAGACAGGTGTTTTCCAGGGTCCGTTGTGAGCTAAGTGTTCCTTCATGGGCCATTCAACTTGACTTGACTTGTCCCTTCATGTGCTAGCTAAATAGCTTGTGGGCGTTACCAGAGGAGCAAACATGTAGTAAACATAGCTAATATTCATAACTTCAGATACCAAGATGAATATACATGCATAGAAATAGCATAAACATAAGTACCAGCTACTTCATCTACATGACTATTCCCAAAAGTGATTCTGAAAAATCACACCATGGAGTTTTATTATCTGTTATGTAACCACAGAAAGGGAGCCAGTGACATGACTCTGTTTAGCTTAAAGGGGCAAGGTTAATTTTTAGCTGTTCAGATGTGACTGCACCTTTAGTCAGTGAGGGCATACTGGCTGGCACACATTCAGGTTATTGGGCTTCAGTGTTTCTTTGCAGTTAACTTTTTAATGTTCATAAACCTGGTATGTGCTGAGGTTACTTAAAGCATAACACAGGTTTTTAGGTTTGCAAATCTGTGAACCTCTGCCTCTGAGATTTTATTATGTATGTATTTATTTTTTTGCTGGCCATAATGTGAATGGGTATCCTCTCCGCCCTTTGCTCATGAGATTATGTATGTGTCTTGTAGCACTCTTCTGAACACCAGTTAAAAGGATTTTTTTTTTCCACTAAGTGTGGACTGATTATTTTCTCTTGGAAGGTATGTAATTTTTTTCAGGTTCACACTGATTAACACAGAAAACAATTGGGGCTGTTAACTTTTCTTCAAATTCCATAGAAAATTAAGTTCAGCTATATTTTCTAGTACAGTGATGAAATGGGTGTTCGTATATACCAACATTAACATGTTTAACTACTCATTTCCCCCAAATTATGTAGTATTTGAGTCTGTTTATATGGGAGTTGGGTGAGGAGTCATTTCAGCATATGTATGACTTATTAAAAGACAAATTTTAATTCAAACTGTATCCTAAACTGCATTATGATATTGTAACCAAACATTGCATTTCAATGGGAGAGTCAACTTCCTTTATAGGAACAGAACAGACTCCTGAAACTCTTACCACAAAATTGGTCCATAGACATGCAAATAGTCCCATTGTCTTCAATGGGATTGATCAAATGATTAAGGGTTTACAGGATTAGATTCCAAGTTTGTAAATTGTTCTAGATGATACTGACAATGCCTGAGCTGTCCGATCAGAAGGAGCGTCAATCAAATAAAGGTGGGCAGATGTGTGATAAATCTTGTTGCTAAGATGAGGAACATATTTTCAGGAAAGTTCTTGGAAGATTCCTGAGGCTGCTGGTTTAAGGTCATCAGTGTCCGGCATTATAATCTTCACTTATAGTTCTCTCACCCACAAAGCTGGAAAATGAGGCATCTGTTTTCTTTGTTTTGCTGCTCCAGTTCCAGTTAGCAAAATGCATGTTAGACTAGTTTGGCTGCAAAGAAGAATTCTGTGTGCACTGGGGACAACACTGGATTCCTGTCAGGCTGCAGAACTGGGCTGACATCAGAATCCAAACATTCTCTGGTCAGTGCAAGCAGAGGCATTCCTTAATGATCTGGACTTGATATGATGCAGTATGAATGTCATGGATAATTCAGACCAATGGGGAGAAACGGAATCAAAAACACAGTTTAAACACCTTTCATCCCCGTTTTCCCCCCCCCCCCCTTGAGGACTCCTGACCAATTTAACAGTACAATACATATGCTAACAAACTTAAACAAAGCCTTTGTTTAAGTTTGTTAGTACACTGCTACCTTGATTATAATGTGACCCGATATTACACAAATTCGGATATAACGCGGTAAAGCAGTGTTTCGGGGAAGCGGGGCTGCGCACTCAGGTGGATCAAAGCAAGTTCAATATAACGTGATTTCACCTATAACATGGTAAGATTTTTTTGGCTCCTGAGGACAGTGTGATATTGAGGTAGAGGTGTATATGCATTGTGCTGTTAAAGCCATATAAACAATGAATGCCCTCCCTAGTTGTGTTCTGCTCCTTTAAGAAGCAGAGCGCAGCCCTCCTCTCCCCAGCCCAAAGTCTTTCTGGTACCCCATACCCCCTAAAAATCTCTTGCTGGTACTGCGTACTGGAGAGTACCACCCTACTTGAACTACTGCCAAGAATGAGGAGTCCCAGATGAAGGCAGAGGGCCTGGCATAGAGATCAATGGACTTTGGATTTTTCCTGTTTTTTGTTTGGACTTTTCTGTTAATCTGGAAAAGGGGACTGGACTGGTAAGTGACCTGGGTGGAGGGCTAGGCCACGGAAGCAGCAGACTTTTGCAGACCTAGGGCAGGAGATGCTAGAGTGGATGAACCACTACAACTCCAACTTCTGATGTGAGGAGGTACTCTGGTGGGGAGTGATGCCAAAACACAGCTATTCTGGAGTATGAGAAAAGTTTTAAAAAAAACCAACAACCTGCTAGCCTTACGACTCTTTTTTTTCTCTCTCTTTAAATCGCCAATATCGAAACTAAACTGCTATCATCAAATCATGAATATTCCATAGTAGACTTTCCCTGAATGCATCTTAGTAATGAACACCTTTCTACTTAACTGGATTCAGGCAGGAGCCTTACAAATATTCATAGTGATTGATTTTATAAATGGGGACAACATTTTCAGCTGGGTGTTTGTATTTTCAATCAGGAGACATGTTCCGGAATCAAGAGTCTAAAGAGTACACAGTATGTAGTCTTTTGCTTTGTGTAAGATTGAGGATGCTGATTGTATTTCTGTATTTATACCTGTGAAGTATACTGTGTATTCAATTCTGAGAGACTCTAGTCAACACAAGTGATAAGGGCCAGTGGAGTAGTCAAAGAAGACTGGAATCAATTAATTGTTCAGATTGAAGGTTGGGGAATGAAACCTACTTACATTTTGTGTTGTCCTTCCTAATAAAAAGAGATTGTCTGTCTGAAATTTTTGTTGACTGTAAGGATTACATACCTCACTTGTGGATTTGTCTGTTAAATTAGTGTTTATTCATAGAAATCTATTCTATTACACAAAGCATAGTGACATGTATTTTCCAGTTTAGATGTGGCCAGCCAGTGTGTAGTATGATCCTGATCTTTTATTGGTTTTATTATATTAGCTACTTTCTTGGCAGAGCATTTGTTTTCATTAATTGGTTTTCAGCACTTTTGAGTCTAAAATGTCTTTTGTTCAGCTGATCATAGGGCGTGCAGCATCTCTTCTCATACATCTGCATTTATCCCAGCACACTCAGGGTATTGGTGGGGAAGTATGAAAAAAGCAGCCAATTTTAGAAGCAGGCAGAAACTATTTTGGGTGTGAATGATTGCACTTCAAATGACATAGATAGTGATTCTGATTATTTCTCTATAGTGTCAGTAAATAAAAGCTTAAGAATGTTGCTTGTTTTCCTTCATCTTACTCTGATATTGCGGTTGGAAGTGAGGTTTCAAGATTTGGCTTTTTTATTATTTGATTTGCCTCACCTGACGTGAAAAAGTCAAACCAAAATGAGCTGGTACATATCCAAAGAAAACCCTGATTTGCCTTCCATGGCTCTGTGCTCATGAGAAAGTAGATGTGCATGTGTTCCAAAAAAACTCTCTCATGAGCTGTTTTTTGCAGTCTGGTGCCCATCCACAAGCAAACCAGAAAGAAACTTTATTGGGATTATATATTGATTTGTTTTGGCAGTTACATGAAGCAGGTAACATAAACGAGGAGATCGGGGAATCAGATCCTGAAAACCCCCATATTGAAGTACTATTTGTAAGTCATAGGATAGCAATAATTGTATTACTTCACCAATCACACATTTTCTGCACTTTACCCTCTTAATAAGGTGGAGAGGGAATCATAGGCAGTGGGCTTTCAGTGTCTAGCTCCGTAAATTGAACTACAACTGCTTATTTCACCCCCTTTTCTTTTTCAAATGCCAGCATTACTGTGCTGCAGTCTGTAACAAGCTTATATCTGATGACATGTTAACGCCCCCACTCCTGCACCTAAAAATCCATCTTCCGTCCTCTTTCTTTGCCTGGAATAAGGCTGCTGTCTGAAAACAGCAGGAAATTGTTCTGGAAATCTCAAAAACTGACTTGCTCATGAAATTTCCAGAAATTCCTATTACTCTTATGTGACTCCAGAAATATTGCACAAGATACCTTTCTTTGTAGTATTTTTGGCCAAAACTATGGTGTGTGGAGATATGTACACTAAAAAAGAAAAATGTTAACCAAAATTAAAAATAAATTCAAAAGCAGTTCAAATTTTGTATTTAAAAACAGGTAAAGATATGAATTCATTCCTACTGTATCTAAATCAGTTTGTTCACCCTATTTTTGATACGCTTTTGTACCCTAAGTGACTTTTTTGTGTGCAGGTTTTCTTTTTATAGGTTAGATTTTTCAGAATGTGGTATCCATTTTTTATGTTCAGAAATTACTCAACTAATTTTATAATCTCCTTTGAGGAAAAAATAATCTCTTGGACTTTCAGAAAAAACCAGGAAGGAAATGACTGCCAAAGGTTCCCCAGCAATAGAAGTTATCCTTTCAACATTAGAGGTAAAACATCTTATTCATAGACATACACATGTACAAGTTGTATAGTTTGCAAATATCAGACTTCCAATTTTTCAATATTCTTTAATTTTCTTGGCCACTACAAAAAGGTACTTGTCCATGATCTTGATCATTATGTGATATCTAAGGCCTTGATTCAGCAAGTTTCTTAAGAACATGCCTAACTTTGAATATTCAAAGGAACTACACTTGTACTTAAAGTTAGGCTATGTTTAGGTGCCTTGCTAAATTAAGTCTAAAAATACATAAGTCAAGTGGTTTGAGTTGCAGTCGGAACTCTGAGCAGCGTGTCAATCGTTCAATTCTGATGTTCGAATTTTAACGAGAAATATACAAGTTTCTTAAAATATGAAAAAAAAAAACCCTCAAGTATTTACCAAAGAAAATTTCTTTTAAAGTAGAATTCAAGCAAAATAAAACCGCTTGTTTTGGAAATGTCTGTGGATCTCAAAAGTTGGAGAAGTTGGGCAAATATAAAACTACAGATGGTTTATTTGGGTATAAGCTTTAAGTATGCTAATGACTGAAGCTTGGAAGGAAGGGCATGTGTGGCTGTGGAAAATAAATGTAATAAGGTACTCCCATTAATAAGTCTTGAAACAAAACCTATTACTGTTACAAATGAAGCAAGGATACATCTGTGTCAAATATGCCATATTTGTTACCAAAACTAAAATAATATTATTTAATTTCAGAATACAAGAGATCTTCAGACTACTCTAAATATATTAAATATCCTCATTGAATTGGTGTCAGTTGGTAAGTTTTAATCAAGTGGCAATTTTTTATGTGTACTTTGTGCAAATTGTTATATTTTTTTCCAGGCATTTAAGAAATAGCTGATTTACATAATTTTATTTTTCTGAGATTAAAAGTGATCAAAAGTCTAGTTTATGCATGTATATAAAAGTTGAATAGTGCCAATATTGGTGCATTGCAAATGGATATGAAGAAAAGATTAAATAGCTAAGTATCTTAATATTTTTTGACTACTTCTAATATTTCTATTTTTAATTTCAAGGTGGTGGTCGGAAAGCAAGTGTCTTAGTTTCTAAAGGAGGGACGCAGATCTTGTTGCAGTTACTTTTGAGTGCCAGCAAAGACTCCCCACCCAATGAGGAGTTAATGGTGCAGCTTCATTCCCTTCTTGCAAAAATTGGTCCAAAAGGTAATCATAACGGTTAATACTTTATCCATGTGTAATATCCTTCATGTGATGATCTCATTGAACTTTTAAAAGATTGTTTCATCGCAGCTATTAGGTAACTATCTGTTCTATTCTACGTTGTAACGGTTTGTATAGTGTGCTCATCATTGTAGTAGTCGCTTAATGCACTACTGGAAGGCTCTTAAAATGACTACACACCTGTCACGTCTTGTCCATTTACAGTTGGATAAACAGAGAGAGAGAGAGATCAAGAATAAATTTTTGGAAGTGTTGACTAAATTAGGGTACCTCAAATTTTGAGTGCCCAACTTGATATTTAGGGCCTGGTTTTAGGAGCCTGATTTTGGAGGTGTTGAACCTTTCAAGATGGGCACCAGTGTACTCAGCATTAGTGGATGAAGGCATGCATGCAGACAAGAATGGAAGAAGGGAATGGTGAAATGGAGTTCATTATGCAGAGGAGAGGGGTAGAGATGTAGAAATATCTTTTTTTGGTCACTTTTGAATTAAGCTTATTTAGTTACAGAAGTAGAATAATTTAGCTTCAAAATCAAATTCAGTGATTTTTCTTTGGTTTTGGTTCTGTTCTATTTGTTACAGATAAAAAATTTGGAGTAAAAGCTCGAATCAGTGGCGCTCTAAACATATCTCTGAATTTGGTGAAACAGAATTTGCAGAACCACAGGTTAATCCTGCCATGTCTTCAAGTACTAAGAGTATACTCAACCAACTGTAAGTATTGCAAAGCATTCCTTTTTCTCTTTTTTTATACAGTGCTGGGTAAAGTATTCGACAATGTTTAAATGGAGAATTAATTTTTTTGTTTAATATTACATGATTACAATGACTGCTATTTTCTAAAGACTTTTTACTACTTTTAAGTGGTGTCCCCATGTGTGCTTCACTTCAGGTGCCCATGCGCCTCTCGAGCCCTTGATCAGAGATTTGCAGTTAGCAGTGTCCGTTCGGCCCCTGCACATGCCCTGTGCTTCTTCGTGCTGGATACAGAGACTATATAGGGGTGTGCAGGTGAACAGCCATTAGTTCCTTTTCACCTGCTTCAGCCTGAGATGGAGCCTTAGTGTGGCAGTCTTAAGCTTGCCTTGGCTTATCTAATATTTCAGTAGAGGTTAAGATATTTTTTTTTTATTGTTGTCAGTTGTTTGTATAGTTAGATGATGAGTGAAAGGATTGTTTGACTCCCCTTTCCCCTGGGAGAGACTTACTATTTTCCTGACAGGGCATGCCTGGCTTGTTAGGTTTCAAATGTTGCCTCTCTCAAATGTTGAGAGGCTATAGCTGTGAGTGACCACCCCTCTGTGTGTCCATTGCTTGCGGGAGTCCTGCTTCTGTCTGGCTCTCACATCCGGGACAAGGACAAACCAGGAAATTAAATTCAGACTGCTAATGATGGAACACACTCTTCAGCCAGTTTGAGTCAGGTCAGGAGACCACCCCTTTTCCCCCTCAGACAGATCCAGCGCAGGCTTCCTCTACGAAAGGGAAGACCTTGGAAGCTTCAGGGAAGGCTTCTAAAAAGAGGACTCTCACCTTAAGGAGCCAACTCTGAAGAAGTCCCAGATTCTCGGCGAGATCTAGAGTCTCCAAAGCGTTGACCTCTCAACTCTGTACTGTTGAGGTGAAGGACTCCTCTTCCAGCACTGGTGGGGCTGCAAAGTCCCGGAGCATGAAAGAGAGAGAGACAGCTCTGATAGGGCCTCAGTATCTTTTGCCAGCATGGCAGGCAAGCATAGACACTGGGGACTAGTTCAGTTCAGTCCAGCTGTTGGTACCCAGGCATGCAGCACCCTCTGCACTGAGCAAGCAACAGCATCAGACGCCAACAGTGTCTACTTCAGTATGTCCACCATTCGTGGTACTGTTGGCTTTGCCGACTTTCGCCTAGGCCACTGCATCAGTGCCAGTCCCTTACTCGGTACTGTGACGGTTTGGGTCACGGTAACTCCATCAAGACTGTTACTAGATGTGCTGGGATACCACTGAGAACAAACCCCCTGCCAGAGAAGGCTTCCCTCCACTCCCATCTTGCTGAGCTAGACACACCAGTTAGCTACAGCACAGGCCAAGAGGTTGGGCCGCTCCCCCCCCTTCAGTTCACCGAAACTAAGATTCACTTAGCCCAGGGGCTTCTCAGTTAACAGGGACTTTCCCAGCACCCAGTATTCCATCTTTCTGGGAGCCTAAACCCCAGATGAATCAATTTTACTCTGTATAAAGCTTATACAGGGTAAACTCATAAATTGCCTGCCCTCTATAACACTGACAGAGAGATGCGCAGCTGTTTGATCTCCAGATATTAATTACTTACTCTGGGTTAATTTATAAGCAAAAGTGATTGTATTAAGTATAAAAAGTAGGATTTAAGTGGCTTCAAGTAATAACAGGCAGAACAAAGTAAGTGCCCAATCAAAGCAGTTTGCCTGAAAGGGGATTGTGTAGGAATCCGCCTGATGAGCCAAAGGTGATTCTGGATGTAAGTAAAACTCAGGAGTTGGTAGTGGCTCAGCAGAGCAACGCTTCTGTGGAGCAAGGTAAAGATGAACTGGTGCTTACAAAGATTCCTGAAGAAAAAAATTTTCAGGGTAGTCTTTGCAAGCAGTTTGCTGCAACTGAAGGGTGTGGAAGTGATTTGATCAAGGAAGTTTCAGTTCCTAACAGCCAGAAATTTTCTGTTGTGAATGGATCCACTGACTTTCCTTTTGAAAGATCCAGTGTGGATCGCTTTGAGAAAGTGGAATTAAAATTGTTAAGAAAGTTAAACAGTCCTATAACTAAGTGGTTGTGCTTGACCTGTTTGTTGGGAAAACAATGTTGTTGGGACAGAAATGTCTCCATGTAGATTCTGTATATTGAAAAAATTCACCAGGGCAAATTCTATTCACTATATTTTCCCCAAAAGTTGCATGACAGATGCCAATAGTACAGAGGGGAAACACCTACATCACTGCTGGTGCTGCTTGTTTTTGAACATTTCAGACTTCCTAAGTAGCCATCCTCTGTACATCCAGAACCAGGCCCTTCCCCACCCCCCACTTTTTTTTTTAATATTTCCCCTTACAGCTAGATTATGGTCTCTCATTGCAAGCTCTTATAGGAAGACATAGATACGTTTGTACAATGCCTAGCACAGTGGGATCCCAATCCTGATTGGAGTCTCTAGATGGTACTGCAATAGAAATAATACTGCAGGCACTCACTTCAGAGAGCGACTAGTGTACCTTTTCATCCTGATGCTGAAGGACACCCTCTAGTCATCGGAGCTTGATACATTTTCTTATGTTAATTTTAGAAACTATCCTCTTCTTGACAAAATATACATTCTAAGGGAGAAAAACCTCCTTGCTGTACATCTTAATAAAGGAGGGGGAAACAAAGCGTACATTGTAAATAATGATTTCCATTAGTTCTTATTGACCTGAAATAGAAACCAGCAGAGACTTCAGTGTGCATGTGCAACAGCAGGTTTCTGCCAACACTAACGTACATTCCCTTTTGTGATATTCACAGTCCTGCACCTTCCTGCAACGATTGTGCTGCCTCTTTAAAGTGAATGGCACATTAGCAAGTGCCTGCTTTTCTGAAATAATAGGCTGTGCAGTGCTTGATACCAGACTTCCTACTGAGCCCATTCAGACACACAACCAGCTATCCATCTTTGTGATACACTTCAATAGTACAGCTACAGTAGACCCTTGCTAATTAGCACTCACTGGGAAACTCATTGCAGATTCCTGAATTCTGAGAATCCGTAAATGAAAAAAACAAAGTGAAACATTTTATGATGCAGTATCTTCACTTTTTTCAACTAGTATAGTTAACTTCAAAGCATATTAGTAAAGGCTCAGTAATATAGTTTGTAAAAACAATAATATGAAACTTCACTAGAGCACTCATATTAAATGGTTGCTGAGGAGTAATGTGGAATGGTGGATTCGTGAAATAAGAATTAGCAAGATGCTGTTTTGTCATTTTTGTTTCATGGTTTAAGCACAATAATGCATATTATCTAAATTCAACTTGTAAATTCCCTCTGCTTGATTTTGATTTCAGCAAGTCAATATTTTCAGGATTATTCTAATCTTCATACTACATTATTTCACAAAATCTGTTTTAATTTTTACTCCTTTCAGCTGTAAATGCAGTATCCTTGGGGAAAAATGGAGTTGTGGAACTGATGTTCAAGATCATTGGCCCTTTTAGTAAAAAGAATACTGGCCTTATGAAGTGAGTAAAAGTTTTTAACATACTATAATCAAAAATTTAAGATGCTTTTCAAACTTATTTTTTGATGAAAATATTTTTTAAAATCAAATCTTTCCTAGTATCTGTCAGTTAAATGACAAGGGGAGAACACCTCTTTCCACCCACAACAAACCCAAGATTCTATTAAGGCCTGTCCAGAGCCATGTAGCAAAATCTTAAAATTTGTGTTTATGGTAGTTATTTGCCTTTTACTTTTGCACCCCTTCCTCATACATCAGTCACCTGTTTAAAAAAAAAAAAATTTGTATGGCTTTACCATGTTGTAGATTAAATTTACTAATTTGTTGTTTCTCTTCTTTTTATGTTGACAGGGTTGCTTTAGACACACTTGCTGCATTGCTAAAATCAAGTAAGTGACTACTAGAAACTATTTTTACTAAAATATAAAAACTTGATTAAAATAATATTAAGAGTCTGGCTGAAACCAAGAGAAGCCAGAAAATGTAGAATTTAAGTTGAAATTCATCATTAATATGTTCTGTTCGTTATTGCCACATGTATAATACATAGTAACTCTTTATCCAGTTATGCAGCACAGAGACTACCTCACTTAGGCAGAGACTGACTTTGATCCTGAGAAGTGGAAGAAGCCTTTTTACAGCTACTCAACCATGCCCCTCAACAGTAGAGTCTATGACCCTCTTCTCCCAGCCCTGATTGCCATGTGTCAGTGAGGGTGCTGGGGGGTGGCACCAATATAGTCTCAGTCATAGTCAGGCTGTCACTAAATAGGTCTTGGGGTCTAGAGTATGTGTCCTTTTGCTGATAGCTCTAACGTGCAGCTGTAGGGAAGTGACAGGGCCCATCCTTCTCCAATGGCAGCTGAGCCCGAGAGGAGAGTGATGACGACAAAGTCTACCCCCACTGACTCTTCAAGTATGTTATGGGCAGTGGTGCAAGTGGAATCCATTTCTTACTAGTACGGGGGTGGAGGGTATGTGATGTCCTCAAGTGACCCTCCACGTGACTCCTCCCCAGCCCGGGGCCCCCACGCTCTCCCTGTCCCCCTCCCCATGATCCCCTCGCCCCCTTACCCTTCGGAACCGCAGTGGTGAAAGGAGCAGAACGTAGGGCCACTGGGTAGCTCCACGCCCGCAGATCCTCCGGCGCGGCTGTACTGCCCCCAGCCCTGTCCTCTGGTGGGGCTGCTGTACAGATGGAGGAGACCCTGTGTGGAAGGTATGGGGACGGTACAGCTGTGCTGGAGGAGCTGCGGGCATGGGGCTACTCAGCAGCCCCACGTTCTGCTGCTCCTCTTTCCGGTATGCCGTACTAGCTATAAATATCTTGCTGGTAAGGAGTTCCTGACCGTGTCACCCTACTTGCACTGCTGGTTAAGGGTCATGATCCTCTTCCCTCACAAGAACTGTATGCAAGTTATGGTAGTCGTAGAACTTCAGTAGATTGGGTAGGCATTAAGGGGTGATCAGGGCTTATGGAGAACACCTTCAGGGGGTTGACTGGAAGCTCATTTGCATAAGGTCTCTGTCCCATTTTGTACTGCGCTTGCTATCCTCACGTTTGATCAGATTAGTACACAACCTGCCTCTGTGACTCTCAGGACTGTGTAGTAGTAAGTAGTTTTTAGGATTCATCCCTAAGAGAATGCCAATGGAAGGAAATATTATCTCAGAATAATGTTGGTCTGCTGCTGTGTAAATGCAAAGTCAAAGCTGAGATTTATGGAGCATTAATAAGCTGAGATTTGTATTTTCAGAACAGGAGACCTTAAATGATGGTGTGTAGGAAAGATGGGAAGTATGGTAAGAGCTAGGTTATTATATGCTTTAGCAATCTTTAATTTCTTTTCTTTCTTAAGAAACGAATGCCAGGAGAGCGGTAGACAGAGGATATGTCCATGTGCTTTTAACAAGTTATGTAGATTGGCACCGTCATGATAATCGACATAGACACATGCTGATCCGTAAAGGAATTTTACAGTGTATTAAAAGTGTTACAAATATCAAGTTGGGAAGGAAAGCGTTTATTGATGCCAATGGGATGAAAATTCTTTACAACACTTCCCAAGTGAGTTTAATTTCTTTTTTTGCTAAGATTGCACATGAAGATTTTTTTCTGTATGCTATTATGGGTATGCTTTTATAAATGATGTCATGACTCACAGAAAATAAATGTTAACTTCTAAGATCAAAAGTACAAAACAGTTAAATTGCTTTTCACCATTGAATTGTTACAGTGTAAATTGTAAACTACTGTTCTGTGGTAAAAGTGTATTTGGCTTTTTTTACATCCGTGTATAACCATATATAAAACACTTGTAAATGTTTAGCTAATCCAAACCTTCATTGGTTAAATGTTTTGACACCCTGCCCCACAAAAGAAATGTTTCTCATGCAACAGAACCTCTAGTACATTGCTCCACTATTATTGGGAAGGGCATTAAAAAATTTCCTGTGCTGAATTACAGCTGTCGAGGCTGGTACACCACCACTTATGTGAATTGATAGGGGTTTTTATTGCTTTCCATTTCTAGTTGAATGCTGAAGGTCTCTCTGTGTCTTCTGCTTTACATCCTAAGATGCAAAGCAGAATTCATATACTAAGGTAGTGCATCATTGTCAAGGTCCTGTTCTATGTGGTGGTAGTGCTTTGCCCTGCTACAAGAATTAAGTTTAGCTTCTGTGCTTGGTCTCATTCTTTGGCTTGGCTAAAGCTGGAGAGATGCAATGTGATGGAAGTGTTTTATACTACTTGGCAGTAAATTAGGCTACCAATTGAGAGACTTGGAGCTCCAAAAAGAATAATCTTCTAAATGATAAAGGTGTAGCAGAGTTGGAGGAGGATCTACAGGTTTCAGTCAAATGGAGTAGGCAAAGATTCTTTTATATATTCCATTTATTCAAGCTGTCTTAAAAACTTAGTATAACTATTTTTATATTAAATTCATGTTGTACTGGAGTTTTTCAGTGGCAGTATAATCTAAAATATTCTAATATTTTTGTATGCTCTACATGCAATGCTGTATGTTTCTAAAAACAGTTGTGTAGTTTGCATTCCATTGTTTTCATTCTTTCTTTTTTGTAACAGGATTGCCTTGCTGTGAGAACTCTTGATCCTCTAGTCAACACATCAAGTCTTATAATGAGAAAATGTTTTCCTAAAAACCGTCTTCCACTACCAACTATTAAAAGTGTTTTTCATTTCCAACTACCAGTTATCCCTATTAGTGGTCCTGTGGCTCAGCTGTACAGTTTGCCTCCTGAAGGTATGGTCAGTTTGTAATACGTTGGCTTTTGTGTATATATATTTAACACTTCTCTGCTAGATGGATCAGACTTGCACGTGTGTTTGTCATTATCTAGTCCTCTAGAGCTTGGGCTCACTGGGGAGAGTGAATTAATATAGATTCTCCTTCAGCTCAGTGATAGGTCTGTGGTTTTGGAGCAGAGTGTGAAATTCTGTCTCCTGTACTATATATGTGCAGGTAGGCTGACAACAATTTCGTCTGCATGTGTGTGGCTATGGGCTGAATTTACTTTCTTCCAACTGTCCAAATAGGCACTAATATTGCATTCATTAAGGAACCCATCAACAGAATGAGTGCCTAAATGATCTTTTACAAAAAATCTGCAAAATTCCTGCACAAAATCCATTTGAATTTTTAGAGTATTTTCTGTGATCCGTAATATGCCAAATTCACCAATAGTGTAACTGAATACGTATGCACTGAAGTCACTGGAGTATGCCCACTCGTATCAGCAGTGAATTTAGCCCAGTGTCCCTGAATTGTATCATGCAAACAGTTTAATATGCTTATCTTAACTTTTTTTCCATTGAAATAAATTAAAAACACTAAGTCCTTTCCTTCATATTACTGGAGCCAGATCCAGTCCAAAATCTAGCAGTGCAAAGTGTCCAGAAAGGCAACTTAAATTCCCCAGCCCTGTTTGGAAGAGATGGTCGCATGCTGAGCAGAGAAAGCCCAGTCCGGAGGAGTTGGTCCGAAGTGTCTTCAGTGCATATGTTGAACATTTTCTATGTGAATATATATTTTTTTTAAAGTGGAAAAACAGTTTAAATGTTCTTATTGGACAGAAATGTAATAGATGGTTCTGCAGTATTGCCAGCTGAGCCTTCTGTTTCTGATACAGCTGGTAATATTTAGCGTTCACATGTTTCACTGAAGTTTAATTTGTGTGGTATTGACAGATTTCAGTTGGTGAGTGAAAAAGTTTTACACATTACATTTTTTTCTGGAATGTACATGTTGTAGAAAACCTACATCTGCCTTACTTATAGAGCATTTTATATTACAGTGGATGACGTAGTAGATGAAAGTGATGACAATGATGACATCGAAACAGAAAGTGAGATTGAAAATGAAAATGAAGATGACAAGGACCACCTCTTTAAGGTTAGTACTAGACCCAATCAAAGGGACCAGATTTATACCATTAATATATTTTTCATTACTTCAAAAGTTCACTTTTGCCATACCCATAACTATGTGTTCACATATTAAGGCAATATCAGTAGTGAGTCCAGCTGGGATTTCCAAAGGGACGTAATGGAGATGGGCATCGAGATAGTTGCTGAAAGTCCATTGAAAATGAATGGAAGTTGGGTGTCTTCTTCCCTTATGTTCTCTTGAGGAAAAAAAAATCTTCTATAATTAAGATTCACGATTCCTACCTAGGATAGGTCTAAAATATCTGTTTCACACATCAGTAATTTAATATATCCAGATGTTGGCACACTGATTCTTCAGAGGGCAATTGAATTTACATGCAGTTTATAGCAGAAACATTTTAAATGTTCCCTCTGAAGTATTGCTCTGCCGTCTGCACTTTTTGCATTCCTCCCTAAACAACCACAATCCCCACGAACTGTACATATGCATGCACATACTTTCAGATAGTAACTTTGGCCCTGGGCTACATTTGACCTTTTTCAAATTAAACATGCATGCTTTTTGTCGTAGTGAAGTTTCCCGCCTTCCACTATCAAGCCCCACTTTTCCCACCGCCACCTCCATGTGACCCTCCTTTAGGATTTCTTATGCAATCCTGCTGCTCTGTCATCTCATCCAGAGCCCTTTCTCTTGCAGCCCCTCTGCCTAACATCCATAAAATGGATACTGATAAACTGATTATCAGTGTTTAAAAGCCAAATGTTGTAGGAAGGTGAAGTTGTGGTAAAGAGCAGGGGTGTTATGGAATGGAAAGAGGGAACAGTAGGAGTGAAGCATGAGGGAAGTCTGGGCTACATTAGGTTGCAACGGGGCAATACAGTGGGACATGCAGGAGAAATGCAATTCTTCAGGGCCAGTACAAGAAGTAGGATGGTGGAGAGGGAAGAGCATGTTGAGGTATCAGGGCTCTGCATGAGTCGTTTTACAGGGTACAATATGCATCAATACTGATAGTGTCCATGTGAATAACTACCAGAGTTGAAACATGCTTATTAAAGCTGGGAAATATGTACATCAAAACCTTACTTAACTTTGAGATAAGTGGTGGTGGGTTTTTTTGTGTTTAAGAGTAGGCCATAAGCCAAACTAATGCAAGTTGTTAAAGCAAGGGAGTAAGCAGTTAAATGATTTTATATCCCATCTGCACTCAACTCATTAGTTCCCCCATCACAATCTCTATCCCAATCCGCAGCCCGCATAACTTTGTACTTATCTTGGATGATTTCATCTGAGAAATATATTACACTGGGATGTTTTACGAGATCTGTGCATAATACAGTTGCATACAGGCAGGAAAATTTGTGACATGTGGTGAGATGTCCAAGGTTTTCTGCAGACAAATCAGATTGGTATGCTAGTGTCTGGCTTATGTAAAGTATTAGTGCTTAATATATAACTGTTTTTAGATTGAAGCTCTTTTTTTGTAATTTAGCTGAGAAGTTCATTTATAATACTTGTGTAGTTAACTTTTTCTGTTGCTCTTGCAGAACGACGATATAGAGACTGATATTAATAAACTGAAACCAAGGCAAGAATTGGGACGACCCGTAGAAGAACTAAAAATGTATGAACAATTTTTCCAAGAACTTTCAGATAACTTCAAGGTAAAGCATGTTAGATTTAATGAATTGTTGTTCTGCATATCTTGAATGCTCTGTTTTTAACTGTTCATAACTCTGTTAACTTCCAACCTCTCCTTTTCAAACTTGATCATAGTCATCAATGGAGTACGTCTTGCTTGCATGCCAAACAGCTAAGTTCAGCTGTTTTAAAGTTATTGTGTGGGAATAATGTTTTTAGCAAGCATAACTACCCCATGTCTGCATTTGTAATTTTTAAAAAAGGCTCATGGTGTCACACTTGGATTGGAGATAGGGGAGAAAAGGGTGTGTGGGGGCGAGATGGAGTCCACATATGGAATGCTATGAGCATGTGAAACCAGGGTATACTTGGTAATGAATCTGTCTTTTACCGTAGATTATATTTTAATTCTTTTAAATAACAATGAATGCTGGCTTTTAGTGCTAGGATGATGATTGCTATGCTAAAAGGGCAATGGTCACAAGACCCCCCATTGACTTTAGGCTCCAAGTAATCAATTGATTTAGCAGGTAGTATTAGCGGGTGTTCATGACATTAAATGAAAGTGACTTTAGCATGTTTGTAAACTGTAGATCTCTTCTGAAGCATAATTGTAAAAATGGTGGTATGGGATTCCATGTTTGTCTCAATAACTTCCAGCACAAACTTACTTGGTTTACAAATAAAAATGTAATTTTCTTTCTTCTTGCCCTTTGAAATCAACTTGACTTGGAGCACAGGTTGAATTTTGCCCCTCTCTTGTTCAACACCACATATAATAATAATTAATAAAAAAAAATCTGTAGGCCAAACTGGATGCCATATTTAACTCTATAGTTTCAAAGTTGTCTTTTGTGTCACTTTTCACATCGCCTCTGTAAACCCATCACCTCCTGTGGTTTTGCACAGATGTAACTAATTTGAAATAATCCTTTTTGATACACACGAAAGAATAGGATACAGGTCACTCTCTCCTTCCTATGGTATGATCACTTTTCAGAATAGATCAGTACTTCAAGCATCTCATTTGTGTGTAATTTTGTGATGCGCAACAACTTTTATCATTGTAGTATCAGCTATTTGTATAATCAGCAACAAATTTTTATTTGTAAACGAATCAGAGTTGATATGGAGTAATTGAAGCAATGGTTTGTCAACTCTAGAATACCATTTTAAGTCATTTTTAACCGTGTACCTGCATCTTAATTATGTTACTGAGCTAGTCACTAATGATAATCACTTTTTCAGCTTACCTAGTGACACTAGCAATATAAGAATTTTGTTTTAAGATTATAAATCAGTGTCTACCTTGCTGTAACTAATCAGAAAAAATATTTACTGTTATAAAAAATAAAATAGTAACTTTGATATTTCTAAACTGGTATAAAGTTGTTCTGTTGAAAATATAAAATCAGCACTGAAAGTTTGCAGATGACACACAAATTGGGGGTGTGGTAAATATTGAAGAGGACGGGTCATAGATATAGAGCAATCTGGATTGTTTGGCAAGCTGCATGGAAGCAAACAATATGCCTTTTAATATGGCCAAATGTAAGGAACAAAGAATATAGGCCTTACTTACAGGATTGGAAACTGTAAGCTGGGAATCACTCATTCTGAAAAAGACTTGGGGAGTCATAGTGGATAATCAGCTGAACATGAGCTCCCAGTGCGGTGCTGTGGCCCAAAGGGCTAGTGTGATCCTTAGATGCATAAACAGTAGAAGTAGAGAGGTTATATTACCTTTTAATATAGCACTGGTGCAACCACTGCTAGAATACTATGTCCAGTTCAGGTGCTCACAATTCAAGAAAGATGTTGATAAATTGGAGAGGGTTCAGAGAAGAGCTACGAGAATGATGAAGGAATTGGAAAATGTGATAGATTCAAGAAGCTTAATCTATTCAGTTTAACAAAGAGAAGTTAAGGGATGACTTGATCAGCCTCAGGGATCGCTCAGTGGTTTGAGCATTGGCCTGCTAAACCCAGGGTTGTGAGCTCAATCCTTGAAGGAGTCATTTAGGGAACTGGGGTTGGACTAGATGATCTCCTGAGGTCCCTTCCAACCCTGATATTCTATGATTCTATGAATACCTACATAGGGGACAAATACTTGATAATGGGATCTTCAGTCTAGCAGATAAAGGTATAACAAGATCCCATGGGTGGAAGTTGAAGCTAAACAATTTCAGATTGGAAATAGGGTGTACGTGTTTACCAGGAACTGTTCCAATTAATCATTTGGCACAAGTAACCAAGAGTTGTGGTGGATTCTCTGTCACTGGCAACTTCTTCTAAATCAAGATTGGATTTTTTTTCTACAAGAATATGCTCCAGTTCCCCAAAACAAGTCCTTTTTGAAGTTCTATGGCCTGTGTTCTATAGGAGGTCAGACTTGATGATCACAGTGCTCCCTTCAGGCCTTGGAAGCTATGAATAGCACAGCACTTTCCCACTGTTTGCATGAACATATCTGATGACATGAAAGACTTATGTTTGAAACAGTAAATACCTTACTGCAGAAAGCTGACTTCTCATAGCTATGTTTTGTCTGACTTCTTATGGCAAAAGTACTACTTGGGGTTTTGAGGAAGGTGTACAGTTTCCCTATGGGCTTTGACTGACTGACTGGCTTGGCAGACAGGAGACCTATGTTCTTCCTGGCTCTGCTGTTGTCTTGCTCTGTGACCTTGGGCAAATTACTTGATCTCTTTGCCTCATTGTCCCCAGCTTTAAAATAGGGATAATGATGATTACGCACCTTTTGTAAAGCATTTGGTGATCTAAAGATGAAAAGCATCATATAAGAGCTAACTATTATCCTTTAGACTTCATACAGCAGGACACTGCTAAATCTGCATGAGGGAAGGGACTAGGAAACAATCAAAACTTTAGGGAAATGAATTTTATTTCTTGTTTAAATATCTGAATGTTGGAAAAACTGGAAAGCAAATGGGTAAAAATTGATCAAGTAGAAAGTTTTTGTTTTAATGAGAGGACAAAGATGTTGATGAACCTTTCTAGTCCTTATGTCAGCAATATTATATATGCTATGTGATGAAATGCTGCACAACTTTTTAATTTCATGGCACAATTTAAAAAAATTACTTGAAAGTTTGGTGATGTCACTGAAGAATTGCCTCATTTAGGTGATGGCATCTTTCATTTGGAAAAGGTTAACTTTTACAAAGTTTCTGTAGCTTAACCGGCAAACTTTTTAGGATTGTTTATCCTGAATACCTTATTCCAAAATATACTTGTTTTATTACCACTAAAAATCATGGAAAAGAAAAGTGTCCTTTTTATAAGCAAATACAAACAAACTTTTAAAATGTGAAAAATTGTTTCCTAATCATGTTCTTTCTTTGTAAAGGACTGTGACTTAGTCTCCAAGGAACCAAAGCCTTTTGCATCTGATGCAAATCTAGGTGGACCTATTGTTGTTCCTACTGCAGGAGAGGAGCAGTCTGTAGAACCAAATCACTCAGTCAAGGGAATTACTGTGAAAGAGAGCAATCACTTGCAAGCAGAGGAGTGCAATAAAAGGCCAGCCTTTTTGGATCTGCCAAAGAAAGATCGCAACAAAGACAATAGCTTACAGCAGCAAAGTGATCAAAAGAAACTGCTTTCGTCATGTCAGTGCCTAAGCTATGAAATAGTGAAAGGCTTGGACAGGATCACTTTGCAGAATACTTCAAAAAATGAACAGTATTGCAAAACAGGGTGCGTAATGAAGAAAGAAAGCAAAACTAGTCTTACCTCACTCACTTGTAATAAACCTTGCCAACATGTTTCATCTTGCGGAAGTGTTCTGTTTGAGGGACGATCTGTCCAGCTGGGAAAGCTGTGCTTCACGGGTGTTGATCCTGAGGAAGAGGATGATTCCAGCTCGCATTCATCAGGGGAGCAAGTGATGCTTGAGGTGCCTGATATATTGCCACTCCATGACCCTGATCTTTATATTGAGATTGTGAAAAACACAAAGTCTGTCCCTGAATATTCAGAAGTGGCTTACCCAGATTACTTTGGTCACATTCCACCTCCATTTAAGGAGCCTATCTTAGAAAGACCTTATGGTGTGCAGAGGTGAGTTGACCTATTTCTTTGAAAGAGCAATTGTTGCAAGAATAGTACAAATGAGAAATTCATGTTTTAATGTATAAAATTATAATCTTTGTTTATAGTCTTGTCTCTAAAACATTTAAAAAAAAATTATTCTGAACGCAAGTGACAAGCTGGTACAAACTAGTAAATAAAGTAATGAAGTTCTATTGTGAAAGAAGTTTTTGGTGTAACTTTCTGTAATTAAAGCTATCTGAATGTTAAGCTACCAAAAAAAGGTTTTCTGAAATGAGAAATACTGCCTTTAAAACTTAATGTGAAAATAAGCTGAAGGTGCAAGCAGTAAACGTTAAATTTCTAAAATTAAGCAGTGAATTATAAAATTAACATTTGTGGATTTCAGCCTGGGATTAGGGAATGTGTTATCAACCAGAAGAATTTAGAGCTTGCCAAAAAAAAAGCAGTGAACTTGCATAGTGTCAATTCTTTTGACACTTCTTTCTTGCAGAAGGAAGAAAGAAGAGTTTAGCTCCCAATTACATAAATCAGTGTATATGTGACTGGTCAGTTTCACCATCCCCTTTTACACTCCTTCACTGATCTTTCTGTACCTCAGGCATCTTATACTCGCCTCAGAATACTACTGGGTAATCTTGTGCTTAGAGAAATCTTTACATTAAAGATAAAATTGGCATCTCTGTTCCAGTACTTATTTTATTTTGGTGCCTTAACCAATAAACACACAACTTTCCCTTTTAACAGGTGAATGTATATTTGCATTTACGCCTACGGCTGGTGTGTGTAAACCTGAGTTTAGTCTGAGAATTTTCTTTATTTTACAAAACTGTCATAGTGACTTAGGAGCTTAAGTCTACTTTTTTTCTGTGGGGAATTAAGTACTTTTGAAAATTTTACTCCTAGTATAAAGTAAACCTTCAGGGGAAACTACCTGTTTCCAGGGTTTTGTAGTAAAGACATTACTGTAGGATAGGAGATGGGACTACTGGGGGAGAGGAAGTGGCTTTGTGAGGCAGTTGGAAGTTTTGGGGAAGAAACTCATGTCGCTGTTTGTGTTCAGGACCCAAAACTGGAATTCCAAGAGCAGAGTAGGCTAAAACTCTATTCTCTCTACTCAGTACAAAGGGATTACACTGGGATTGTGTGCTTTGGTGAGTCTCTCTCCCTCCCCCTTCTCTCTTTTCCTCTCTCTCACACACTCACAGCAGACTAAGGGCTTGTCTACACTGCGATGTTGTTGACAAAACTTTTGTCTTTCGGGGTACTTAAAAAAGCCCCCCCGCGAAAGACAAAAGTTTTGCCAGAGCAAGTGGCAGTGTGAACGTGGTTTTGTTGGCAGGAGCACTCTCCTGCCAACAAAGCTAATGCCACTCGCGGGGCTAGAAGTATTTTGTCGGCAAAAGTGCTGACAAAATACCGACAGAGCGTTCACATACGCTGACTTTTAGCTGACTTTTAGTGGGGTTGGGTATATAAATAGCTCTCTTCCCAATGTTCTGAATTCTTTTGCTTGATAACTTCTAAATAATCTCGTGCCTGAGACCAAAATCCAAGAGTGTGAATCTATTATAATTGCTGCTGTTAAAAAACAAGAATTGCAGATAAGTAATCTTTTTTGCTTTTACAGTTTTCTTTGTTTTTAAATATAAATGTCTTCAGCTAGCTTTTTTCCAGCCCCATAACTATTAGCTGGTTAAAAATGTCCAGTATCTTATTACCTTTATTTTTTTTCTGCAGTTTTTCCCTTTTGTATGTTTTCCCGAATTCATTTCCATTTCCATTATCATTTTAATTTGTCGCTTGTCACTGAGGTATCTGAGTACCTCACATCGTTAATGGATTTTATTCTGACAACACCCTGCTGAGGTAGGGAAATTGTTCCCCATCTGTAAAATAGGGATAATGAGGCATAGGGTAGATAAAGTGACTTGCCCAGGTCATCTAGGAAGTCTGTGGTTGAGTCAGGAATTGAAGCCAGGTCCCAGTGGCCTATCTTCTAGTCCATCTTTCCTGCTACACTGGTAACTTGGTACTTGTTGGGCTTGTGATTTCTTTTAAGATTGGTTACTCTTGTGACTAGACTGTCCTGGGTTAACAAAAAATGGCCTTTCCTCTCCCCAGCAACCTTTACTTTAAGTGCAGATAATTGCCAGCCTGAGCCCACTTTCAGACTGTACTACAGTACCCTACAGTGTTGATTGGCTTCCTTCTATTTTATTGCAGCTGCTGTGCATGTTTTCCCACACAGCTCTACCAATATACACTCTAGCTTTTCCAGTCCAGGGCCTCCTTTCAACAGATACTGCCAATTATGCAGTGGTTTTGTAATATGGATAAAATGTCCACCAGGCATTTGTCTGAGACCACCAAACTCATTCTCATTTGCGACCCATTTAGTAGATGAACCTAGATCTCCAGAGGTGAAAGACTAATGCACTAACCCACTCACTCCACAGCCTAGCCCAGGGGTGTTCTCAACAAATTTTTTGGTGGCCTCAGAGTGCAGCCACCAACTCTCACTGGTGGCCGTACTGACACTTTTTCCTAAAATACTTAATTAACTTTAGGAAAAACAACTAAATATGCACAGATACACACACAAATCATTGTAATGTATATTTGTAGGATTTTTTTTGGCAGAGTCAGTAATAAAAATAATGCTGCCTCTCCCTTTGGGAGTGATTATTTGTAAATATCACAGCACACTTAGTGAGTACCTGGGACGCTCTGAAAAGAGATACTTGATATTAACAAACCTCCAAGTATCACTTTTCGGAGATTGCTAGTAAGTCTGATGTCAAAAGTGATACTTGCATGTTAGTTAATATCACTTTTTTCCCTGAAGGGGTGGGGAGCAAAAGGGGAGGCAGCAAGGGCCAGAGGTGAAGGTGGGATGAATGCGGGGCTGGGGGAGGCGGTGGCCCGGGGCAATGGGGGGTTGGATGCGGAGCAGTGGGAGGCAGCGGGGCCAGGGGTGATGAGGGTGGGTGATGAGTCCCCTATCACGTGGCCAGAGCCAGGGGTCGGAGCCAGCTGCCACATGGCTGGAGCTGTGGGTCAGCGCCCAGGGCCAGTACCTGCCGCCACATGTCCAGAGCCTGGGGCTACATGGCTTGAGCCAGGAGCCAGCGCCCGCTGCTGCACGGCCGGAGCTAGGGGTCAGCACCTTGAATCGGCACCTGGGGCTAGTTCCCGCCACCACGTGGCCAGAGCCTGGGAACAGAGCTGTGAGTTGGCGCTTGCTGCCATGCAGCTGGGGCAGGGTCCGTGCAGCTGGAGTCCAGGGCCACCGCACGGCTGGAACTGGGGGCCAGCACCTGACATACAGCTGGAGGCCAGGGCTGTGTGGCTAGAGCCGGGTGTGTGTGTATCAGTACCCACTGCCCTGCGGTTGGAGCCTGGGGCTGCACGGCCAGGGTCCTGAAGTCCTGCTGCTGGAGCCTGCTGCCCAAACCCCCTCCCCCAAGGTGGGTCAAGCACTCGCCTCGCTCCTGCAGCGTTGTGCCCCACCTCTCTCCAAAGGCGGTGCAGGGTGGCACATCCAGGAGCAACAAGGAAGGAGTGGGAGGGGCCGATGCTTCTCTCCGCCCCCCCCCCTCCGCCCCCCAATCATTGCCCAGGAGGCTGTCATGGCCGCAAGAAAAGCCCTGGTGGCTGCATGCGGCCACGATGACTGCATTTGAGAAACATTGGCCTAGCTCCTAAAATCCCTTATAATTTTAGTTACAGAAGGACTTGTATAAATTACTCTTATAACTGAATCATTTTCAAAGGTTACCTAGATTTAAGTACTAATATCAAATAATATAGCTAATCACATACTCTGAGCTTCTTCTATAATTATAAGAACAAATTATTTCATAAAAGTTAAATCCTAATGGGTTTTGTACATGCACATTCAACCCCTGCACATGCAAGTGTTAGAATTGGTCAGCAGTGTATGCAGGTGCTTACATACCACAAGTGCACACATGGGGATGACATGGAGGCCTCACTGAAAATCAGGCCCTGCATGTTGTGTTATAGCTTTGGTTGACAAACAAATTGGTATGTACCATTTCTAATTGCTGTTCTAGAATGTATTTTAAGTGAGGACTCTCTTCTTACTACAGGACAAAAATATCCCAAGATATTGAAAGACTGATTCATCAGAATGATATTATAGACAGAGTCATGTATGACCTTGATAATCCCAGGTAGGCTATATTTGTGGTAAAACAATCTTCAATTTGATTGCCAATTTTGTTTTCTTCAAGGAAATTATTTTGGCTTAAGATAAAGATGAAGTCTGTGGTAAAGCCTGTAGTCCTAATCAGGGCAATGCTGTACCTTTTTTGTTGTAATCCTGAATGTATTCTTCTAGATTAGATTTCCAATCAAAAATCGGAATTAACAAATGAGTTCCAAAGATCCATTTCACTTACTTAAAATGGTCTTTTTTCCCCTTTCTTTTAAAGTTATTCAGTGCCAGAAGAGGGGGAGATTTTGAAGTTCAACTCCAAATTTGAGTCTGGAAATCTGCGCAAAGTTATTCAAATTAGAAAGTAAGATATCTTTCATTTTTCTTATTTTGCATATGTACTGCAAATTTCTTATTTTAAGAAGACTTATTTCTCTTTGTTAATCTTCAGAAACGAGTATGATCTCATTCTGAACTCAGATATAAACAGCAATCACTATCACCAATGGTTTTATTTTGAAGTCAGTGGAATGCGACCAGGCATTGGTTACCGGTTTAACATCATCAACTGTGAAAAGTCGAACAGTCAGTTTAATTATGGTAAGACTTCTTTTCAAAGGGATGGAAAACTAGCATGTAGGGAGACCTACTGGACTAGCCAGAACAGGATACTTTTTCCCCCCACTGGGATCACTGGATTATTCATCTCTTTATTACAAATCAAACTCCTAATATTTCATGTGACGATGTCATTAGAAAACTGTAAAATAAGTGATTAAAAGAATCCATGTGTGTATGTTTTTTTAAAATTATTTTTCAAATGGAAAACTAAGGAAGTATTTTTTTTGAGTAAAGCTGAAGTATAAGAATGCTGTTCCAGGCTCCTACTAAAATTGTGGTAAGGCTATTATCATAAGGTGCTGGAAAAGACAAGCTGAGTTCTACATGGACGCCAAGAGGATGAAAACTGGGAGCCATTAAGACCCTCCCTGAAAGCTTGTGCATGTTTTAGTAAATGAAAATAAGTGCAAACAATGTCAAACAACTTTGTCTCCTGGATTTTGGGGATTTACGTGTGAGGGAAAATGTCACGTTGCTGAGAAATTAAATGTAATCAGTAAGTCCACGTAGGAGACCAGAATGAACTATAGGTTTAAGTGGAAACAACTCAAGTTCTCTTTTCAAAATTGTTTATTTGCATCCCCACTTTGGAAGTGTTCATACATAGATATGTGATATCTGAAATTTCTAGCCAGTAGTGTCTGTTGAGGTTGGATGGACACTCTCTTCCAAACTACATGCTGACATCCAAGTGTGTGTGTGTGGGGTGGGGGGGGGGAGCATGGTCCCCACTACTGTTCTTTTCTTCCATCCACCAAAGGATCAGTGACCTTAGAACACTTCCTTCATCCTGGTTAGTTTAGTTTTTTTAAAAGTTGTTTTTTCACCAGTATCATTGTGGGCATCCAGGGCTAGTTTTTCAGCCTTGCTGTGCCTCTGTACCAGTAGTTGGGTCTGCAAACCTCTGTGGCACTATTAAGGCAGACTTCAGGTGCTGTGGTTCTTGTGATGCCGCAGTGTTGGTCACAGACAGCTGTGTTCAATGCCTTCAGTACTTGAGTGAAAGATCAGACCTAGATAGATGTTCTGTCTATCTTGCCTTCACTTCCTGAACCTGGAGGAAGCACAAAAATCCCATCAGACTCTTTTTAGTGGAGGAAGCTTGAGACTTAGTTGGCACTCTCGTACTGAATGTCAGGGATAGTCTTCAGAGTAGCAGCCGTGTTAGTCTGTATCCGCAAAAAGAACAGGAGTACTTGTGGCACCTTAGAGACTAACAAATTTATTAGAGCATAAGCTTTTGTGGACTACAGCCCACTTCTTCGGACAGGGATAGTCTGTTACTCAAAAGACCTGAATAACAAAAGAGCCTGCTTGTGACATGGATCAAAGCAGAATGTAAAGGTCAGTGGGAAGAGCATGAAGCCCTGCCATTTAGGCCCAAGAGTCTAACTAAGTGTCAAGCTATCCTCCATTTCTCTGAATAATCAAATTGAAAGTTAAATAGTGTTTCTCTGAATCTGCTGTGCAGCTAGGCAGAAAGAGAACGCTCCATTTTGAATTATAACCCACTAAGAAAAAATTCAGGTGCCCACTCAATAGTTATAATCATTGCAGGATAATACTTTTTCACAGAGCCCATAATTAAAATGGGGGACTCATTGTCACAAGAAGTTGTTGAGGCCAAGAATTTAGTGATAACTTTCAATATTCTTGTTATCCATAGAAAAATGTTTTCTTGTTTTCCTATGAAAAATTTTAGAAGGAATATTAAACCTGCTTGAAGGCTTGAGCCAATCTCTGATGGAGGTTAGGATGAGCCCTACTGTGAAGGACACCCCACCTCTGTTACACCTTCTGAAGCATCTGGTACTGTCCACCGTGGGGAGACATGATAGCATGGGCTATGCAATTTTGCTACTCAGACCTAGAGAAACTCCTTACCTTGCTGGTTCTGCCCAACCTGGACTTTCAGAATGAGGCCAGAGCCTGTACCCAAACCAGACATCCTTGCACCGCATAGCTTGAATGTTGCCTGGATAATGTCTTCAGAGAAGCTGATCTGCTGCTGTTCAAGACATCTTGCTCCACAGTGGAAAACCTTTAACCAGGCTGACATAAAAAACCAAATGAAAGAAATGTTTCTATTTAGGCAGTTCAACACCTTTCTCCAGTGGCAGGTCCAATTGCAGTGATATTAGACAGTTTACTTTCCCTGAAATAATTGGGTCTGTCTCTAAGCCTGATAAGGGTTTAGCTAGCAGTGATCTCTGCAAATCCTCCCTATTTACAAGACCACATTGTCTTTTCACATCCCACAGTGAGGGCAGTCAGGACCAAGGGTCAGAGCTGGGTCAAACCTGAGGCTGGGAGTAGTGGAGAAGTCCATAGGTTCCAGGCCAAGGTCAATACCAAGGTTCAGAGTCAGGTTTCAGGGGCTGGGTCAGGAGATGAAGTCCAAATCAAGCTGTGGTCAAAGCCAGGAGTTCAGGAGCAAGGAGTAGGAATAGTCGTGTCAGTTACAGGAGAGCTGGGCTGGTGCCTGGACATTTCCTAAAATACCTCTTGAGTTTATATGGGCCAGGGAGCCAATCAGGAGCCATGAGGGTGCAGGCTGTCAGACCGCTGGAGGCTTCCCATGGTCTGTGTCCATAGCAGGTCATGGGCAAGTGGAGTGCAAGCTTGTGGCAGCATGGGGATGCCAGCTGCCTGGCAGCTCTGCAGGACTGGGTTCTAGACTCATGGAGCCTTACACTCACCAGTCAGGAAACACCCCTACTTCTTGAGACCCTACTTCACTATTGATTCTATTGATGGGGGTCTCCCTCTGAGCCTACCACTACCTGCTCTGTTTATCGGTGAAAACTGCCTTTCTGGTAGTGTTTTGCCTTTCAGATAGGAGGGATTCATGCCCTCAAGTCAGGCCCCCCATATATGGTCTTTCACAAGGACAAGGACTCCCTCAAGCCTCACCCTAAGTTTTCTGTGCAAGGCAGCTTCCAACTTCCTTGTCAATCTGTCGATTCACCTCCCGATTTTCTTTCCTAACTCACATTCTACGCCAGGTGAAATGAAACTTCACCTTAGATAGAACCAGGCCATTCAGGTACACACTTAGATTCTTTATGGTGTTTGAAAGTTTTAAGGGAGAACCCATATCATCCCTGAGACTAAGTGGGCCTTGGTCTATATCAGGACTTGTTACAATGTGGATATGAAAGATCCCCCTAGACTTATTAGGGCTCAAATGGCCTCGGTGGCCTGCTTAGTTCACTTCCCAGTATCAGAGATAGGTAGAACAGCAACATGGAGCTTGAGCCACACATTTATCACTTGCTGTTCCTTGGTACGAGCTTCCAGGTCAGATGCTAGTTTGGGTAGGGCTATCCTACAATCACAGTTCACTTCTTAAAAAACTAGGCAAGTAGTAGTCACCAAGAGTGGAATCTGTGTGGAGAATCAGTTGAAATAAAACCAGATATGTAACCTATAACGGTTCTTTGCAATGTGCTGTCCACACAAACTTCTTGCTCAGATTTTTTCTAAACTACTTCTAGCAACTCAAAAGTCATAATCCTTTCCCTGAAACCTTGTTATGAAACGTGTAAAATTCCTGTTAGAGCCAAGTGAACTATTCTTAACAAATAATGCACTCAAACAAAGTAAGTCCTATTAGCTGCTTCCTAATTATCATTAGCAAATTTTGATTTTTATGAAGTTGCTGGATAGTCAAAACTGACTGCAGGCTTGTCTGCTCAGTGGGGTAATGCATACTATGGGACTGTGATTTCTAAAGCACACTAACATGTTGCATATTAATTGCTTTGTTTAGACCAGGGGTGGGCAAACTTTTTGGCCAAGGGCCACATCTGGGTGGGGAAATTGTATGCAGGACCATGAATGTAGGGTTAGGGCAGAGAGTTGGGGTGTGGGAGGGAGTGCAGTATGCAGGAGGGGGCTCAGGGCAAGGAGTTGGGGTGCAGGAGGAGGGGGCTCAGGGCAGGAGGTTGGGGTACAGGAGGAGTGTGGGAGAGGGCTCAGGGCAGGGGATTGGAGTGCGGGAGAGAGCTTAGGGCAGGGGGTTGGGGTACAGGAGGGGGCTCAGGGCAGGACGTTGGGGTGCAGAGGGGTGTGGCAAGGGGCTCAGGGCAGGGGGTTGGGGTGAAGGAGGCGGTGTGGAGTACGGCAGGGGGCTCAGGGTTGGGGGTTGGGGTGCAGGCTCCGGCTTGGCGCCACTTACCTCGAGCGGCTCTGGGTTAACAGTGGCACGCAGTAGGGCTAAGGCAGGCTCCCTGCCCGCCCTAGGCCTGTGCCGCTCCCGGAAGTGACCAGCATGTCCGGCAGTGGCTCCCGAGGGTTGGGTGTGGCAGGACAGGCAGCTCCAATGCGTGCTGCCCTCGCCTGTGGGTACCACCCCTAAAACACCCATTTGCCGTGGTTCCCGTTCCCAGCCAATGCGAGCTGCGAGGGGCGGTGCCTGCAGGCAAGGGCAGCGTACGAAGCCCTCTGCTCCCCACCCCCAGGGGCTGCAGGGACATGGTGCTGTCGCTTCTGGGAGCAGCACAGGGCCAGGGCAGTCAGGGAGCCTGCCTTAGCCCCACTGCACCACGGGGCTGGCAATCCCGCCGGCCGAATTGAAAGCCCTGACGGGCCGGATCCAGCCCGCGGGCCTTAGTTTGCCCTCCCCTGGTTTAGACACTGCTGCTACGCTCTGAAGGTTTGCTCACATGCCTTAATGTAGTACTGTTTGGCAAAGGAAACTTTTTTCTAGTTTACCTGAAAAGCTCTGCTCATAAAACAGTTTCTGTTTTTCATTGATATTGTGGTTATCTGGTTTTTCAGGTGGGTGGATTGAGATACAAGAAGGCTGAGACTTCCTATGAAATTTTATAGTGACAGTTGGTTAGATGTGATTGAATCCAGGATCTTACTGTTTTAGTGTCCATTCGAGCCACTATATTATTTTTGAATTACATTTGTTTTTTTGACTCATGTTTCATTTGTACGTTGCTCATCTTGAGTCATTTTTCATTTTATATGTCTCTTCATTGTTAGTTAGAAGATGGTATGACATTCAATCTTTATAATGGACTCTGTAGGTTAGACTTAAAAAATGAAATGAATATAGTGTGCTTACATGAGACTGTATTCAGATGTGATCCATTGCTCGTTAGCTGTACAAACAGAATTCAGTGACCTTAAGATAAAAATCTATTCCTTTTTTCTTAAAGGTATGCAGCCCCTCATGTATTCTGTTCAGGAGGCGTTAAATTCCAGGCCATGGTGGACTCGTGTTGGGACAGATATTTGTTACTATAAGTAAGTATGCCAACAAAAAATGGAGGTAAGCAAATCTGTGTTATGTTGAAGATTAGAACAAAATCTAATTTACATGACTAGAACAAGCACAAACATGAAATGTATTGTGGTAATTTACTTTTAATATTTCTGTAGCAAAGCAATTGTGTGGTTGGCTTTTTTTTTTTAGTTTCTTAGATGTTGACAAATGAATTTAGAAAATTAAGTATTTTGTTAATGCTATGTTGATAAAATTTTCTGGGAAAATTGTATTAATTGAATAACTTGTGTATATAAATATTTAAGCAATTTGTATTAAGAATTTAACCTTAATACCTTTAATACCTCACATGTGGTATTGTTGACTTTCTTTTGGGGATCCTGTGATGGAACCTCTTTCTAGGTATTTACTCCTTGTTTATTGGAGAGATCTTGGAGTGTAAAACAGGAAAACTGCTTATCTTTACAAATGGCCCTGTCGTGGGAGGAGCTGTAGGGTCCCCGCTTATCATCCCTTCTGTTCAATGGCTGTCTGTTTTGGTTCCCCCTCCCACCCTCACCCCATTAAAATTTCCCAGCATTTCTGCTCGAGTGCGTTTCTACCTGTAGTCGCAGCAGTGTACGCAGCAGCATACAAATGTTGTAACCATCATATGATCTCTCACTTCTCAGAGCCAGGGGGTTTCATATCCTGTTCAGAAATGATGACCTCTGATGTAGTAAAAATATCTACAAATCTCTAACACTTTTATGTTGGTTTCACTTCACTTTTAGGAATCACTTTGCTAGAAGTTCAATTGCTGCTGGTGGTCAGAAAGGAAAATCCTATTACACAATTACATTCACAGTGAACTTCCCACACAAGGATGATGTCTGCTACTTTGCTTACCACTATCCATATACGTATTCGACTTTAAGGGTGAGAGAATCTTTGAACTGGATTACTTGGATGTCCATTTATATTACTGTATCTCTTTCCATAAGAAAATGCTGATTGCTTCCAAATATTAGTTCATAGATACACAAGGCTACATAAATGAAAGCATATATGTTGAAAAGAATAAAACACTCTCATTAAAAGTTCAAATAAGAAAGGAATCAGTCTGTTACAATATATGTAATGAGTTTGCTTGTTCTTTAGAACAAAAAACTGCAAGAAATTTGACATGATCTTCATTTCCCCTATACAATATGTCTGATAATTATAGGAATTACAGCTATATCAGTAATTGACTTAGATGTTCCCTTCTCTCCCCTCCCTCCCCCCAAAAGGCATTGAAAACACTGACAGCAGGAGAGTATGGATAAAAGCTGACAGCTGGATATAACTCCCCTGTAAAGTTGCCTAGAATGACATTGTTTACCATGATCTAGATCTATCTCCCATTGAAGTCTATTGAGAGTTTTTCAATGGACTTCGGTGGGAATTTGATGAGGTATATCTGAACTATTAAGGTTAAGATTACGAAGTATTAAAAAGAAGACGTTTTCAGGATAATGAATTGAGTAAAATTGGGGTGTTGTGAGGGTTTGTTGATGTTTGTAAAGCAAAGTGAGATGCATAACTAGAATGTGCTGCATTGGTTATATTAACAAAAGCAGATCTGGGACTCAACATATAGAATGGATCAATATTGAATGAGGCTGATCATTTGGGACCATTCACAAACCAAGTGGCTGCTCCTTGAGGGAGTATCATTTGGTTAAAAACAGAATAAAAGAGTGGTGCATAGAAGTGGAAAGTGCTCCAAAAAAAATTAAGAAAGACTCAAAACACTCTATACAAAAGAAAACATTAGTCAGCTATAGATGTAGTGGAAACCTAAAAGGTATTTCATGGCCAAAGTAGTGATGGGAGAATTATCTTCTATACCTGGAACAATAAAAATAAAATACTTAAATAAATCTTTATTTATCATATACAAAATTGCAAAGGACTTAAGTACCTTTTCATCATTTTGGGGATGAAGATGCATCTTCAGAAATTGGAATCCATGCACAACCCTCAGCAGATCTATTTTCGACAAGATACTCTGTGTGAGACCCTGTCTGGGAACAGCTGCCCTTTAGTCACTATCACAGCCATGCCGGAGTCGAATTACTATGAACATATCTGTCAGTTCAGTAAGTATAAATTCTCTCTGATCCACTTAAAATTATGTAATGTTACCTCTTTCTAAAAATGTTAATGCTTCATTTGTCTGCAATTCTTGGTGGGGTCCTTACTGTAAAAATAGCAAAACTCACTTTTATATTCATGAGATTACCACTGGTTGGTCTGCTCACATTTATAATTTGCTTTTGTGTTTAAACAAACAAAAAAATCTCACCTGATTCTTGAATTGTTAAAGATAAATTTTGGACCTGCATGTTTTCTAAACATGATTTTTCTTTCTTAAAAAAAGTACTGTCAACTGCCAAACAAGATTTATTCTTATGCTAAACTTTTTAAATGTTATTTCAAGACAGTCCCTAATTCCTCATTCTTTAGTGTTCTTCATGATCTCATAGTAATTCTTTTTAGTGGAAAAATGTATTTTCCATGGAGCCCATTTCATAAATGTCACATAAGGACTGTACCACCATATGACCCCCCCCCCAAAGCATCCCATTTTTTTCCTGAATTTCTCTCCCTTATGAAGAGAGGAATTTGAATTGTATCACGTAAGTTACCAATCATCAATTCTTTTAACAGATGGTGTTTATGTAGTTGTTTTTCCATGTTGCATTAAACTTAATCCATTGAGGCACTTGTGTAACAATCAATATTTATGATTAAAATCCTGTCATAAAGATGCAAATGCACTGGTACATTATTTTTCAATCACCATCCACCAACTCGAGCTATTTATTGTTTTGAAACTGTTTTAATTTACTTGTTTTACATCTTGCTATTTTTGTGAATGCTTCTTTTAGGGAATCGTCCTTACATTTTCTTATCTGCTCGTGTACATCCTGGAGAGACTAATGCAAGCTGGGTTATGAAGGGAACATTGGAATATCTTATGAGTAATAACCCCACTGCCCAGAGTTTACGAGAATCCTATATTTTTAAAATTGTCCCTATGCTCAACCCAGATGGTGTCATCAATGGAAAGTAAGTTGAACTCTGCTCACAAAAGTACAATTAATTAAAGATCTTTCTGTATCTTGTAATAAAAACAATGTCTAAATCTTAAAATAAAAATGCAGTAGTTTTCCAGAATTAACACAGTTAGTATTTAGGCTCGATTTTTTTCATAGTTGGATTTTTAGTCTTTTTCCAGTGGTTTGCTAACTAACAAAACTACTATAAACAAATCTTACTGACAAAATATTTTCCCAGTTTTCTTTAGTCAAACATATGTACTAGTAATTTTAAGAGCCTCCATGATCCAGACTATGAAAAACTTCCTTTTATATACTGTCTGTTTTGAGATGGCACTTTTTTCTAAGAATTAACTGTGGCTTTAAGTCATAGCCCTGGGTACAAGCAGTAACATGGAATTTAATAGGGAGGCTTATGCCAGTGAGAGTGGAAGAGGAAGCGCAGCGTACATAGTGATGGGGCCATAGACTCATCCATCGATGTCATGTGTACCAGGTATGCGACAAATTCATTGGAATGTTAGAACACTACTGCAGCACAGTTGTTGGAATGGAGGGCTAGCAATGAAGTAATTAAAGTATGAGCCAAATATGTAGCATAGGTTAAGGTTTATATACTGTAATGAATCCAGATTTCTCACAAAGCTGTCTTCTAGCACTTTTTTGTTGGTGAGGAATCAGTAGTGTAAATGTATTCCTATACAAGAAGGTAATGCTGTCTCTCAGTGTTTATTTCTTTGAATTTTACTATGAAAATATTATGTTCTCAGGATAGTGTTTTTGTAAATTACATTTATAAAAATAAGTACCTTCACAGAACTTGCTTTTGCAATATGGTTTTCCAGAACATATTTTATCATAGTTTTACATGTACACATGTACCCCTCACAAATATCTCTTGGTACAGAAATAGATAGGATGTGCTGTTTGTCTGCCCTAAATTCTCAACTTCTTAAAGTCCCCAGATTTCTGGTTTAAAGAACACCAAATTGACACAATTTTATATCTTATTAACTAAGCCTAATAACTAAAATAAGGTTTATACAAAGATATTTCAAATAATTAAAAATAAAGGTCAAAATCCAACAAATTTTACACATTCTCATCCAAAAATTAATAATCCTTACATCTAATGCAAGAAAAGATGATGGTTTATAATCTCTGTCAGAAAGAAGGGTGTTATTGAAGTCAATTCAATATTCAAACACTTTGTCAAAAAAAAAGGACTAACGCAGGGGAAAAACAATTCCCAATTTAATTCACTAAGGCTTAACCACAAGGTTCCACACTGCCATTCTTTAATATTAGTATTGCCACCCAGTCCCCAAAGGGATGGTCACAGATGTTTCCATATCATTTTTTTAATAAAGAAGTCTAGGAGAAGCTCAACTTACTACATTCGGCTACCAAGAATTTAGGTGGAAATAGTTTTCAGAGGTTAAATCTATAACTTCTCTTTAATTAGTAAACATGACAGCAGGTGTGACTATTTGCTCAGAAAGTTTCTTAAAGGTGCTGATATGTGGCACATAAATAGCCCCTCTGGGCTTCAGAGCTGCTCAGTTGTCCCCCCTGCCCCCAGCCATACTTACTCAGACACTCCAGCAATCACTCACTGGTTTAAACACTCATGCTAATGCATGAATGCCAAGGATATGTCTCTGCAGATTGAAAACCAAAAATCTAAAATAAAATACTTAAAATGTCTGTATGAATTTGTTAAACTTACAGTACTACTTAAGTCTTTCTGAAACATTGCTTGCTGTAGACACTGATCTTCCTGATTTCTGTTAGTCTTCTACTAGCTAGTTGGTCTCCTCAATGCTACCAGGCTTGCCTGTGACAGGTCTTGTATGTTGGCTGATGATGGGTTCCATATCCCTGTCAATTGTCAGTCAAAGCAGGGGTGTAGACAAAAGCCTTGCTTGAAATCATATGGCTTCTGGAGTTGTGATGGTGTATAAAGGGTACATGAGTTCTCTTTGAAGCCACTATTTTAAAGGTTCATAGCCATGCTTCTTTCTTGATGATCTGAATAAGATTCCATTGAAGTTACCAGGCTTCCCATCCAATTACATTTGATTTGATCATCTTAATGGAGATCGGGATCTTTCCACAAATTAGCAAATTGTATGAAGAATTCTAGAAGAATTCAACAGATTCAGCAAATCTATAACTGAACATCGCTGACAGTTGACTGTCTGTCTATTTAGCAGTTCCAAAATATCAAATTGAGCAGACAGATTATGGTCACAAGATCATGAACTAGACAAAAAGATTGAACAATAAAATCATTGACCATCTTACAAAAATTTAAATGTAAAAGGCTATTAATTTTTTTTAAATTAGAACTTATAAATTTGGAACTGAATCTGTTGACTTATCACACACATTCAAACATCCAATTTTCACAACAGATAATTTTACTTCCTCTAATCTCAGAGCAAGTAAGTATGCAAATATCTTTAAATAAAAATTTACTTCCCTTTAATTTTATCTGATCCAAGTAAAATATATTAGTAACCATTAAATTAACTCTTTTGCAAGAATAAAAAATGTTCTGAGTACAAACTTGAATTTAAATTTCACTTGACCACACAAATTGAGTAGTTGTGTCACAGGCAAAACTTGAATTAGTGAGGGTAACTTTTAAAATAAAAGTGAAGTTATATTGGGAGCCATACATTTCTTTATAAATTTGTCTTTCATAGCCATCGCTGTTCTTTAAGTGGGGAGGATTTGAACAGACAGTGGCAAAACCCAAACCCAGACCTTCATCCCACAATTTACCATGCCAAGGGCTTACTACAATATTTGGCTGCTATAAAACGTTTGCCTCTGGTGAGTATGTGTGTTTGCCCAAAATAGGCATTTCAAAATCATTTTAGCTTTTTGTATAGATACTGTCTCGCTCTCCGTAAAAGAAAACACATTTATAGGTCCTCGCAACTGCTTCACATGCTTACAAATGTGACTTGGAGGGTTCATTAGAAATTTCTGGAACTATTTCCAGTTGTATTGAACGAGAGCAATCACTTTGGTTAATGCTGCAAAAATATTTAGTTATAACACCCCAGTTTTGATTCTTGAGCCTTTCAGTACTGCATATCTAGCATTTGTTTGCAGGTGTTGTTGAGTTAGAGGATGGAAAAAAGCCTCATGTTCTGAACATCGGAGTGGTTCTTGCCCCCCCCCCCCCCCCCGTTAAGGCAGTTGTAGTAACAAAAACAGTTGAATTCAGAAAGTTTTAGATATGCTGCGTTGCTAGATTTTATATTTTCTTTGGAAATGGCTTAGTTTTATGAACTCTAATCAGCAATTTGGAATATATGCAATATGCCAAAACTTTACGTTGGTACTTACGTTGTACAGTATATGTGCATAACTACATAAGCCCCCAATCCTGCCAAAATGTATGCATATACTTAATGTTGCACTTGAGTCATCACTTTGAAACCAATGAGATGTCCTTGCAGAATCAGGACCCAATGGTCAAATCATGGTGTCCGTGTAGGGTTTAATGTGGAAGGGAGAAACGGGATTCTCCCAGCCATTTTCGGTCTTCCTCTTTCCACTCTTCCCCTTAGGAAGTCCAGAAGAGAGGAGCTCTAATCCTTATAGGAGGCACATGAGTGTAGAGCTCTTCCCTCAGTCCATGCACATTTTCGTTTTACTTTTCAGTATGCATTTGTTAGCTATGCATATAGACCTCTACCCCAATATAACACGAATTCTGATATAACGCGGTAAAGCAGTGCTCCGGGGTGGCGGGGCTGAGCACTCCAGCGGATCAAAGCAAGTTCGATATAACGCGGTTTCACCTATAACACGGTAAGATTTTTTTTGGCTCCCGAGGACAGCGTTCTATTGAGGTAGAGGTGTATGTGTAGCAAAGTCTTCCTTAGCTCTGTGGTTTGAGTTCAGGAAAAAATTTCAGTCCATCAAAAATCTAGTGTGTATGCAGCTTTGAAAGGCTCATAACTCCATTTAACCATCTTATTTTTAGTAGAACACTCAAAGGTTCTATAGCAGGATTCTTTTTATGTCAATTTTTTTAACCCCAGCCATTACAACTGTAGACAAAGTTTAAAAAAATTGTTAAATAGGGTTGAAGAGTAGTTTCTTTCACTCCTCCTCCTCCTTGTAAAAAATGACTGCACAGATTGAGTAAAACACAAAAAAATAAGAAAACCTTTGGCAAAGACCAGTTTCTGTCTGACAGATGAGTTTCAGGAAATTATGAGTGAATGAGAACAGGAGTTTGAACAGGATACCACTCTGAAAGCTTAACTCTAGTTACTGGTTGTTGCTATTGCTTCTGCTGTGATAAAAATGTTAGTCATGCACTCTCATAGACTTTAAGCTCAGAAGGGACCATAATGATCTTCTAGTCTGACCTCCTGCAGGCCACAGAATCTCACCCACCCACTCCTGTAACGAACCCCTGACCTATGTTTGAGCTATTGAAGTCCTCAACTTGTGGTTTAAAGACTTCAAGATGCAGAGAATCTTTCAGCAAGTGACCCATGCCCCATCTGCATAGGAAAGTGAATCCTCCCCCCACCCCCGGGCCTCTGCCAGTCTGCCCTGGAGAAAAATTCCTTCCCGACCCCCAAATATGGCGATCAGCTAAACCCTGAGCATGTGGGAAAGACTCACCAGCCAGACACCCAGGAAAGAATTCCCTGTAGTAACTCAGATCCCACCCTATCTAGTGTCCCGTCACAGGCCATTGGGCAT